TTGTCCTCTGTCTCTCTTCATTGGGCTGCTAACTTGTATCTTTTATGGTGTCCTTTATTAAATTGGTAAACATAAGTGTCCTACTGAGTTCTGTGAGCTGTGCTCTAGCAAATTAATGGGACCTAAGGGGGAGGTCGTGGGAACTTTCGGTCTGTAGTGGGTAGGTCAGAAGCACAGGGAACTGCCTGGGGCTTGCGACCGGCACCTGGAGTGGGGGGGGGGGAGAGCAGTCTCGTAGGTCGGGGCCCTTCACCTGGGATTGGCCTGATGCTGTCTCCCGGCAGATAGCATTCAGAATTAAGTTTTCCAACACCCTGCTGATGTTCAAGAATTGCTTGGTGTTAGTATGTGTGGGAAGACCCCCCCTCCCACATACTTACACACATGGCAATTGGGTCTGCGAACCCGAATGAAGTTATACTACTATTACTGCTGTGTATAATACTGTTGTTATACATGTATGTAGGAGGAAAATAAACCATTACATTTGGTGTCTGATGAGTGGGAATCACAGAAGGTCACCCCCTGCTCCCACTGTCTACCCAGGAATGAAAGGTTTCTCCAATTGAACATCTAAATATAAGTTAACTGATTACTTTTTCTATTTTTTTTCACAGCTTTATTGATTATTGATATATATATATATTGCACATACTTAAAATGTACCATGTAATCTGTTTTCATTGGTTCTGTTCATAATCTCTGAGATTTTTAAAAACAGCTTTATGGAGTATAATGGATGAATAATAAACAGAAAGCATTCAACTTGGTAACCTGTGACACATCAGAACGCCTGTGAGCCCACCACCACAACAGAGGCAGTGAACACATCTGCCAGCCTGAAAAATTTCTTTGGTCATCCATCCCTTAAGCAACCACTCGGAAGGCCCACTTTAGTTTGCATCTTTTAGAATTTTAAAGAAACAGAATCATTCAGCATGTACAGCGGGTCTGCTGTGTTTTGCTCAGCCCCAAGCTCCTGAGATTCAGCTGTGTTGTAGCAAGGTCAGAACTTCAGTCATTTTCCTGGCTGTATAATATTCTATGGATGTGGCCACACCATGTTTCGATTATCCGCTGGCTGGTGGACAGGGGCAGGGATTGGGCACCTCTGCAGCCAAACTCTCAAATGCTAACACAGTTGACCTTTGAACAATGCAGGGGTTAGGGGCGCTAACCCCCTGTGCAGCTGAAAATCCACATATAACTTTTGACTCCCTTAAGACTTAGCTACTAATAGCCAGGCTTGACTGGAAGTCTTGCTGATAACATCAAGTCGATGAACACATATGTTGTATGTATTATATACTGTATTCTTATAATAAAGATAAAACATTTTTTAAAATTGTTGCACATCTCCAAAATTTCTTCCAATATACTTATTGAAAAAAATCCATGCAAAAGTGAACCTGTGTGGTTCAAACCCGTGCTGTTCAATGGTCACCTGTGGTAGTAACAGTGAACATTCCTTGAGGATCTGCTACTTCCTAGGTGCCATTCTGCAGCGACTGAATGCCCTGAATCTTTCCACCCGCTGGGGCGGGCACTGTGGCTTCCACTGATGGATGCAGTACTAAAAATTGGAGAGGCCACATGCTGCCAGGGACCCCACAGGAGGCAGGTGGCCCAGCAGGGACCTAAGTCTGGCGCTGGCCCTCTTCCCTCGGTCTGTCATGGGTTCCCCTTAGGCCAAGTGAGGGAGGGGGTGGGTCTACCCTCATCTGCGTCCATCCTGTTTCACAGGAGAGGCAGTAGGGGGGGGCGGAACCAAGGGGCAGCACTGGCCTGTGGGCCTGCCTGCCTCTCTCTGTTTTCTGTCTGCTGCCTTGCATGCGGCAAATGCACACAAAATATGCATGGGTGGGTTTCCAAGGGCTTGGCTGTGTCCTTTCTTTCAAACCCATTTTCTTCTATTCCTTCCCCCGTCTAGTAACTGTTTTAGTTATCACCAGTTTGTTTTCCTGGAGAGGGAGGCTGCATCTGGTTCTAGAATCAGACTCCTGTTTGTCTCCACTTTTGGCCAATTCCCTGTGCTGTGTATGGGGGAGGACGGCAGTCCCTCACGGGCACAGAGCCCTCGTTTGACGCTGACAGCCTCTTCCCTTTCCTAATCATTTTTGTGTGTATACCCCCATAGATGTGCGTAGGGGGCCAGGGATGCGCCAGCAAGGAGCCCTTGAACCCACAGGAAGCCGAGGCCTTGCAAATTGGGGAAAGGAAGGCTTGAGCTGTCTTGACCCTGGGCCTTGGCAGGAAGCCGCACTGAGAAATGTCACCTGCCCAAAAGCAGAACCGGGTCCCAGCCTGCTTCTTGTGAGTTGGCTGTGGCAGCTCCCTGGGCGGGAATTGGACCTCCCTCCTCAAAGCACGGACAGACCATGGTCACGGGCCAAGGCAGGACTTTTCCTGAACCCGAGGCTGTGGATAATGACTTTCCAGAGCTGGTGGGTGAGACCCGGCCACTCAGGGCCACTGGCCCTGAGCTTGACAGGAGGCTATGGCAGGTCGGGCAGGCTGGACCACTTAGTTGGGGACCAGCCTTCTTGGTGTACTGGGTTGAACGGTGGCCCCTAGAAGATGTGTCCACCAGGAGCCTGTGACCTTATTTGGCAAAGGATCTTTGGAGATGTAATTAAGCAAAGGATCTAGACAATGGGATCATCCTTCATGATCTGGGTAGAGCGGAACCCCAAGGATAAATGTCCTATAAGATGGATGAGGAAAACACAGGAAGACTTAGGGAAGGCCATGTGACAGCAGCAGCGGAGCTTGGGGTAATGCGACTACAAGCCAAGAAATGCCTGGGGCCCTCAGAAGCTGGAAGAGGCTAAGAAGGACCCTCCTCTAGAGCCCCAGAAGGGGGCACAGCCAAGCTGATACCTTGATTGCAGACTTCTGGCCTCCAGAATTACGAGAGTGTAAATTCTGTTGTTTAAGCTCCCTGGTTTGTGGGGTTTTTGTTAACAAATAGGGGCCATGTGGAGGGGAGAGCTTGGGTGACGACTCGGGGCAGTGTCCTCTGGGAGCAAAGGTTCTGGTGTCTGGCCTGTGGACTGCAGAGCCAGCCTGGGACCCAGGAAAATATGAGGGAGCCTCTTAGTGTCTGCTCTCCCAAGAGAGACCCTTGAACTGCAGAAATAGTATAATTCTGTGTCCTCTGCCTAACAGGATACTCTGGGCATCTCTTGCTGGTCAGAGGCTCTGTGACATGGCAGACACAACTGGGCAGAATATGGAACCATGGGAGAAAAAAAAGGAGGGGGATGAGGGTTTTTATGGAGAAAAGGGAGAGGCCTGTGGTGCAGATGGGGGGCTTTGCTCCAGGTGTCTCTGATTCACCAGGGCACATCCTGTGGGTGGGTGGCGCTACCCAGCCAGTGCTCGGGAGGAGTGGGGACCACTGGATGGCCAGTAGTGGGGCGGAGGGCACGGAATCACCAGCTTCTAAGTGCTCACGAGGGCTGAGGGCAGACCCGGCATTTACCAAGAGGCTCCTACCTACATCAATGCCTGTTGGAGTATGGGCAGCAGGTAAGTGGAAAGGAGTCAGACGCTGAAAGATTTGGGAAAATAACATTCTTGTTCATGTCCTCACTGTGAACCGTCAGTCGAAATGACTGTCAATCAGGTTTAGATGGACAGAAGATCCTATATACTTTGGAATCAGTCCCCAGTCCCTGGTCATACCTTTAGACTTTGCCTGCCCTCAAATGCCAGCACCTTCTCTCAACCTCCAAGAGCCTGTTGTTGCTCAGGCCTCCCCATGACTAACATTCAGGGGTGCCCATCCTTCTGCTCTGAGTATCACCTGGAACCTTTCCAATCCATGGCCACCACAGACTCTCCTACCAGAATGTGGAGGTAGGGAGGGTTCCTTTGAGAAACCAGGCAGTAGACTGCCCTCAAATACTTATTTTTTTAACTTTGAGTTTTATTGGCTCATAAGATTTTTGGATATTTAAAAAATTACCCCAAACACTATGTAGTATCAAATCACAATTATTATTTTTTTAACCAATTGAAACTACCTAGACATACACCCTCCAGAGGAAAAAAAAAAATCCTACAGAACTGAATTCTGAAATGACATTATGATTTAAATACTGTGACCAAATAGGTAATTCCTTATCACATTAATTCACCTGCACCTGCTGGACACTCTCATAATCATAACCATTGTGCAGAGTACAGATGAACACAATTTCAATGTTACACATTTAGTTGAAGTAACTGCATCTCCACCTGGGGAACTCACATTTTTGGCACAAAATGTTGGTCTGGTTTTACTTCTACTGGACAACCAACTTCACAATCCAGTTACCACCTACCTAGTCCATCCATCTATCCAGGAATGCATCAGTCTACTACCCATCCACCCATGAATCTACCCATCTACCAATGAATCCATCCATATACCCATAAATCTACTCATCTACAAACAAATCCATCCACCCTTCCATGAATCCATCCACACACCCGTTAATCTATCCATCCATCGAGTCTATCTACCTTCCTTTCCTCCCTCCCTCTTACCCACCCACCAACTGACCCTCCCTTCAGTACTTCCTGGACAACTATCTCACTACCCAGCATCATGCCCCCTTCTGGCTAAAGGGGCACATGTTCGGCAAATGCCAGAGTCCACACTGACTCTGGCATTCCTAGATCCACTGAATTAGAAACCTCATGACTAGCTGGTATGTCCTTGCCTGTTCATGGCAAACCCTATCATGCTAGCACCTCTAACTTATTGTGCTTCGTGGGCATCTGGGCCCAGGCTGCACGCCCTAAGGATGGGGGTATTCCCCCTGTCCATACACGTCCCACGTCGATCCACTGCTCGGACCTTCCCATGAATGGCATAAAATCACACTGGCTTCCCTGCACAGTTAACAGATGTTTTCATTTCAGTACTGAGCTTCCAGGCTGGCTCCCCCTTTGCAGGACACCCAGGACTCCAGACCATGGCTGGTGGCACACAGGGGTGTCTACCAACTCACCCTCTCACGATGCCGCTCTCTAGGTAGTTGACCTGGATGAATTTCCCAAATCGGCTGGAATTGTTGTTGTGGGCTGTTTTGGCATTCCCAAAAGCCTGTGAGGAAAACAAAAGCAGTTTTTCAGATCATGAGGATGAAACCTCTACATGCCTTGGCCCGGGGCCTTGGCGCGCCCTCCGAGCGACGCAGACACCTGCTCACTGGAGGTCACTTAGCGGCCCGTGTGAGCACTGGGAACGACAAAAGTGTGTAGCCCAGGTCCACCACAACATTCTTAACTCCTTTTTCTCCATGCAGGAGGGGCTCAAGTTTTAAGTCTTGGAAATTAAAAATGCCAACCATTGGAATTCTCCAGTTATAATCATTCATATAGCAAATTCTGGCCCATGGCCTAAATCTGGCCTGCTGCTTGTTTTAGTACTGCCTGCAAGCCTACAGTGCTTTTGACATTTGTAAATAGTTAAAAACCAAACCAAAACAAAACCCACCCATACAACCCAAAGAAGAGTACTATTTTCGACATATGAAAATTCTATTCACGTTTCAGTTTCCAGAAATTAATTTTTATTGGTACACGGCCAGGCATGTTCATTTATGCATCATCCATGGCTGTTTTTCTGATGCAACAGCAGAGTAGCTGTGACAGAGACCGTCTGGCCTGCAAAGCTGAAAATATTTACTGTCTGGCCCTTTCCAGAAGGAGTTTGCCGGGCCCAGGGCTGACACAGGCTCCAGACTCCAGGAAGGCACCAGGCTGGGTGTCGGGGGGCAGATGTGGAGGCAGGTCCCACCCTGGGGGGTCCTGCAATTCCATGGGATGACAAGTGGGTTCACAGCAAACATTTTTTGGTTGGGGTAAAACTGGCATAACAGAAATATCACCATTTAAAAGGAAACAATGGAGTGGCATTTTGTGCATTCACAATGTTGTGCAACTATCACCTCTGTCTGGTTCCAGAACATTCCCATCACCCTAAAAGGAGACCCTGTCCCAGTTAGCAAGCACTCCCTTATCACTCCTCCCACTGATCTGCTGTCTGTCTGTATGGATTTGCCTGTTCTGGACATTTCATAAGAGTAGACTCATAGAATATGTGACCTTTTGTGTCTGCTTCCTTCACTAAGCATGATCATTTTGGGGTTCCTCTACATCATGATATGAATCAGGTCTTTATTCCCCAGCCACAGAGGAAAGTATGTATAGTGCACAGAGCCTGCGACTCAGTGAGGTCCCCCTCTGGGGTGTCCTATGTGACCACCTCCCAGATTAAGACAGAGAACACCCTCCGTCAGGTTTCCAGGGTATCCCCTTCCCATGAGGTACACACTGCCCCCAAGGGGTGAACAGATGGAGAGAAGGTGTGATGGAGCCTTGCAGGAAGGGTAGGGAAGGTGCCGGGGCTGGGGGTTCGCTGTCTCAGGGAGAGGGGGCCAGCAGATAGCACGGGGGTGGGGCTGCACAGATGTGGGGAGAAGGGCAGAGCTGGTCACAAAGCCTGCAGGCCATCCATCCAGCCCCTGGGGCCCTAGGCGCAGGGGACACGGTGACATGAGGGTGGGAGGGGATGCCCCAGTCACACACAGAAAAGAGAGCATGGCAGAGGGAGCAGGAAGCAGGGTATCAGGCTGATGATGTTCCAGTTTGAGAAGGCTGAGCCGTGGGGAATGCTGGGTAGGCAGCAGGGCAAAGATAGCAAGGCTGCTGCCAAGGTCAGGAGGGGTGCGGGTGATAAGGGCAGCGTAGGGAGAGGCTGCCAGGCTTCCAGGGAAGTCAGGAACAGTGAGACAGGCTGACCCTGAGAGAGGCTGGGGGTTTCTGGGGGCCTCATTCCACAGGGGGATCACTGATTGGAGCTTCTGGTGTGACAGCCTGAAGGCAGAAGCCCCATAAAAATGTGTCTGCTGGTAGAAGGCCTGGGACACCTCCTCAGAGACCAGATCTGTTCAGCATAGCTTGCCACCAGGACGTCGGGGGCCTGGCTGATGGGGTCACAGGAAGAGCAACTTCCTGCCTGTCCGGGCTGATTGGGTCACTGGACAAGTGGCTTCCTGCCCCACTGCCCCCGGGTGCTCCAGATCCCCGGGGAGGGCCTCCCTGTGAACCTGAGCCGACTGCTGAGTCACCAAACAAGCGTGATGACCAAGGAGGGGACCTGGAGGGGCGACCTGGCCCCAAATTGCACAGGGGGTTCTGCTCAGGGCGAGGTGGCAGATGGGGGCTTTGGGGGTATGTCTCCACAGGGCCTTGTGAAGGTGGGGCATTCCAAGGGAAGCACCAGACATGGAGCCTGCTGGCCTCCTCTCTGCAGCTGCCTCCAGGACCTGTCCATCGGTCTACCTGCTGGGGTTAGAAAATGTCTTCAGAGGGTTGGATTCGAACAGGGGCTTGCCAGCCATTGGGAACCCTAATGCACATGACAGCTGTTGGCCAGCAGCTGCGCAACCATCAGCTGGGGCCCGGTCTGGGTCCACGTGCTCTCCCAAGCATCCACAAAGCCCAGAGTGGGGGTCCCAGCTCTGGCACTGCTGACATCGGGAGCATGACTTCCGTGCTACAGGGTGTTGATGGACACCCTTGGCCACCTGCCAGCTGCCCTTAGCATCTGGGACGAGCAAAAATGTCCCCAGAGATGGCTGAACCTCCCCGGTTGAGAAGTGCTGCTATATACAAATAAAGCCAAAGGGTTTACGGGGCTCCCTGAGCCCTTTCTCCTGTTGCACACACACTGGGGTAGCTGAGGGGTCCTTTGGGGAAGAAAACTGTCTTCCAGGTCTAATCTCCAGTTTCCTCCCAGTTTAGCCTCAGAACCGTGTTTTTTGTCTAAAGTGAAGCGTACGGACTCTTGAGGACCTGCTCTGGGGAAGAGCAGATGGGAGAGCCCTCTGGATCCTTCTTTCCTTCCATGATCATGAGACCCTGTGGGGAGGCCCTGGAGCTAAGCGCAGCCTCTCCTCACCCCACCCCCCACTTGAAGCTAAAATGAACTCCTGAGAGCAGAGGGCAGAGTGATGCCAGGCCCAGTGTGGGCCCCTCCATGGGCAGCTCTCTGTGCTGGGGGCCCTGAAGCTCCCCAGGGCAGGTCTGCCCCAGAGGCGGTCCCTTCTTAACTCAGGACAAGTCTCCCTGGAGATTGCTAAGGCAACAGTGGGACCAGCACCATGGGGACCACAAGGGGCAAACCCTGCAGGATTTGGGGGTCTGGCGGCCCTGTGGGGCCCTGGCTTTGGACTGGTTGTGGGGGGGTGGGGTGGCCGCAGTGACCTCACGTGTCTGGTATGCGGTCTTAGCACACTGTGACATTTCAAAGCCAATCTAAAAATATCCGGTTGGTGCTATTATATGTACGAGAAGGAGGAAATGCTGGCCTGGCAGCCAGGGCAGCTACAGCCTCGGAGCACAAGGGTGGCTGGTGTGCTCTGGCACCACTTGGGGTCAGAGCTGACTGGAGGGAGGAAGCGGGGCCCAGGTGCCACAACGATGCAGTGCAACCTGGCACTGGCTAGGAAGGCTGTATGCTAACCCTGTGTTCCCGCCAGGCCCCAAAACCCATAGCGCTGGCAAGATGCTATGTGAGAAAGGCCTCTGCTTGCTTGGAAACACTTTTTCCCTTTTATGACATAAAGTCCACATTTCTAGTATAATCATACACTTTGAAAAAAATACACAGACTCACATTAAAAGTTTACCCAGCAGAAGGGAAAAAAAACTATAAAGATATGACCCTACAATTCAGACCCCCGTAGTCGTGGTTTCTATGTAAAACTGACGAAGCAGAAGCGTCCTCCCCGCTGCCCTGCCGGACAGGGACAGAGCCGGCCTGGGCTCAGGGGAACACTGTGTGCCCAGCAGGCCACCTCCCACCCTGCCAGAGATGATGAGGCTGGGGGCCCTCTGACCACCTCCCAACTCTCCTTGTCTTTGAGGTTCTTTTGGGACATTCAAAAAGGCTTCTTAAATTGGGGACATCAGGCTGAGCTTCTCACTTAGCCAGGAATTTCTAGAAGGTGCGTTATCTTCCTGAACCGGATGTCTCTGCTCCCGGCTGGAATGCACAGTAAATGATTTAGGGAGAATGGTAATGACTTTGTCACGGAGTATCCCATGGTGAGTTGCCAGTACTGAGCCAGGCGCGACATGCGGCTCTTACTTTTGCTTGCACTACTCTCAGGGACAGACATGCTGCCCCCATGTCAAATGAGGAAACCTAGGTGCAGAGGTCAGCCAGCACCGCCCCCCTAAAGTCCATGAACAGGCAGGTAGCTGATGCAGTCCTGAACCCAGCACCCGCACTTCCAGCCCACACCCTGCCTGCCCACCCCTTGGTCCCCACAGCCTGGGCCCTTTTGGGGTGCCTCAAGCCAGGCAGGTGGATTCCTGAGTCCTCTAGCTCATCTCCCTAGAACACCAAACAAGCTTTGAGACAGATCACATTAGGCAAATGGCATTTTGCTTTCAGATCTTAAAACCTGAAAGGCCCGTGGAATGGACTCACAAAGGCAAATGTGCTTGCCTGTTCCTGTGTTGACAGGTGAGCCTGAGATGGGGTTCCCCTGGAGGGAAATCCCCCAGTATTGCCACGCAAGGTGGCCATCCTAGCCAGGCTGCGGTGGTGGGACGTGGGGCAACTCCACTGCCCCCAGATTGACCTGCAGCCGTCATTTTTCAGAGGTAAGTTCTGAGTTGTTCCCGTGGCTTTGTCTTGGTTGCAGGATTGGCCCTGTTTATCTGATCTTCTAGCCAAGGGGACCTCACTTCTCAAGTGTTTGCGGTGCTTTTCACATGTGGTCTCATTCATTCATTCACTTACTCATTTGTTCACTCACTTGACAGCCACTTCTTGATAGGCTGCTGAATGCCTGGCACTGTTCTGGCCTCAGAGTCGCCTTTCTGGTTGGGGCTCTGATGGGGACACCCTGCACCTCTGCCTGGCCATGGCTTGGGTGTCACCAACCATCCAGGAAGGGTGGGCCAGCCCTCTCTCTGCAATGCCACCTCTGGGTGAAGCCCCTGGCCCCCCAAGACCACGAGCTGTGCAGGACTCCTGGATCTCTCGTGTCTGGTCAAGACTGGACGTGGAGTTGGAGGAGTGACTGG